AACTACTTGCCATTCAGAACAACGTCCTACTATTTGCACATACAGGATGAAATATGAATTTCTGGCTAGATAACAGCCTAAACCCCCCAAACAATTATATATTTTCTGAAAGCAGAGGCCCTGTAGAATGAAAGAAAAAGCTACTTGCAAATTTTTAGGTTGCACGATATTTGTGCAAATGTTTATCAAACCAGTATTTTTAGTATTTTTATGCACAGAAACAGAATGTAATAACCATTTTTTTGGGTAAATTTTCAACAATGAGGTCAAATTGGATAAATAGATACCAAACATGACAAGCCTTAAAATTGTGTGTGCCTGTGAAATGGTATAAACTACAATACCCAAAATTTTCTATAGGTGGCGCTTTAAAAGCTTTTAACGGTCATCGATGGCCCTAGAATTGTTCTCACTATGATGTTTACGGTGATATGTAACTGTAACACTCTAATTAGATGGAGGACGGAACTCAGCTGCGGAGTCACGTTCCAACTCACGTGCTCAGGCACAGGAGTAGGTGCTGGTAAGCAAAACTAGCCAAAACACTCAAAGCATCAAAGTACCGCCTCTTAGTACAGTCTGACTACTCTGGTTAATAAAGTGGAAACAGAAAATTAAGGGGATGTCCAGGTATATGCTGGGGGTGTTCCCTTTAACAATAGAAGACAGCTCAATATGTTCCTTCACATATATCACAGTGTGGTGTTTGGTTGAAAACAGGGGTGAACAGTTTGATTCAGAGCTTGTATGTTACATCACATATATCAAGTAATTGGTTTCATTGGTTCATACAGTCATACAGCACGCAGATAGTGGCTAATGAGATTTGGCTGGGAATTGGGAGGACACAGTCTTTGTAACACTAGGTTATTTCGGATATGCCCAGCAGGTGGCGGTAGAAGCCGCCTGATCGTTGCAGACAGATATTAGGCAGGCAAATCAGGCAGAGTTATACAGCTTCTCTGGTCAATTGAACCAGAGGGCAATACTTGCAGTTGGGCGCTTCAGTACGCAGTGGATAGGAGGCACGGAGGCATCCGAGTTCAGCAGGGCTTAAGAGCCCGATCCAGACGGAGAGCTTTGGGGGTAAGGCTGTGGCTGTGTCCAGTATCCGTCTGGCGTTCCTCTCAGGATATTGGAACGCCAGACTTACGTATTTCCTGGGCTTATGTTGCGGCGGGGGGAGTTCCCCGATGACGCCTGCGGATCGTGGGTGGAGCTACCGCTCGCGGCCGTGACGCTGTACGGCCGGGTCTGAGGGGGATGTTACAGTAACGCGTGTGGGGCATTTGTATGTGAGTGTACTTGGGGTCGGGGGACTTTGACTTTTTTTTTACATTTTTATTATCTGTAACTTTATCTTTCTTATACTTAACTTTACTACTAACAAAGCCCCCTATGTGATAACAAAGAGGACGTGACAGGTCCTCTTTATGAAGACATCTATTAGATTCCTAATGTCACCTATATAAGCCAAAGAAGCTGATGAAGTAGAGATTGTGCTTCATCAGCTTCTTCTTCGGGTACAGCAGCTGGAGAAAAGTGAGGCTGAAACCAGAAGTGATGTAATGCACATTGCTTCCATGTTCAGTAATCGGAGTGGAGATCAGTTGCTGGAAGTGTCCTGATCTCCCTCTGACCCAGCCACAGAGACCCACCGTGCTGGTCCCGGAGCCACATGGGGGATAGCAGAGCCCAGGATAGCTGGTGGCGGCACACTTCTCCAGCACCATACAAGCGATTGGGTGGCTCTATAGCTGCCCAGATGCTTGTATGTAAATAGTCATGGTCAGCTGTGAAGAAATGATACCAAGATCACAGCTGCTGCATTTTTACAATGTGCAGCCAGGAGGAGGTTAGCTACCCAGTTATGTGCAGAAGCTGTTCACATGAATGAATAATAAAAGTGAATATTCACACAATTTTTTCAGCGCAAATTCTGAATATCCAAAGCTTGTACAGTGGATCTTGCTCTGATCAGGCCCGATGTAGGTGATGCAGCCAAAAACAGAATTGTTAAACTAGCCCAGGCCATCCCTGATATTAACCCATTGTTTGCTAATCATCTACCACTTTGAAAATGTTTTGAGAGCAGTTTATACTATGTAAGGATGGAGTTTTTCCCCAACTCCTACTTACATCTTGTGTAATAATTTTGTATTATATAAAGTTTATTTATTCAATATTTATGACTAAGTTGAACTCCAGGCACATATAAAAGACACAATTTAATTAAGTTCTGTATTCACCCATACACCATAAAAAGTATATATTTTTTTAAATATAAGCAGGCTAAGTACCTCAATTTGACTTACAGGGTTATTCACAAAAGAGTGAAGAGTTTGGAGAAGGGAGGAGAAGTGAACAATTTAGGACAACATAGCTGAACTGGAAAAATTCTACAATTCAGCTCACTTTCCACTTCAGCTATGTTGCCCTAGCTTTTAGCGTCCCACTTCTCCTGCCTTCTCCAAACTCTTCACCGTCTAGTGAATAACCCTGTTAGTTATTATTGTCTTGAAATCCTCTGTACAGCACAACTCAGACTGGGAGAGCAGCACAAAGAGTCAATCAGGTGTATTGAAGTGTTCATTAGCTGACATACTGAAAGGAGGCAAGGGCAGAGTAACCGAGTAATGAGCTCATTGAACTGCTGCTTTTCTATTCACTGTCCAATCACAGGCTGGGGGAGGGACAAGTGCTACTGAAATGCAGCAGGAAAAAACAAATCTGGTTTCCTGCCCTGCCAGACAGGGTTGTGCTATATTGGCAGAGCTGCATAAATCTCAGCAGTAGATAGATAGAATTACACATTCTTTGGCAGGTAAAATACCTGCCAAAGAATGTGTATTTAGCTGTATGCCTGTATTCCACTTGATGTTTTGCAATTTATTATTAAATATTACAACCTTTGTTTCCATTGTATTTGGTTGTATGTTTGCCTGCATAAAAAAATACTTAACTGCAGTTATAATTTTCAAAAAAAGAAGCAAAATAATGTTACCATTCAGAGAGAAAGGATTATCTCTTTGTTTAATATCCATGGCCAAAATGTGAACAGCAGACTTGCTTTGAATTGATCTGTTCTTGCTGATACTCTGGTAATGATTTTCCCTTTTTAGGTAAAATATCTATAATTTGAGCACACGATCCAACCTCGTGTTATTTTATCTGCTTTATTCTTGGCTCGCGGTAGGTTCCAACATGAGTCATATGTTTCAGAGACCATACTGAGATGTAATTTCCCCAGCCTGCTTCGAATAATTTAGGACATAATAAAACAAAAACCTGTTGTCAATAGCAGTCAAAGAAGCTAATTCTATCCCAAGACAGTTTCAAAGTTTGATTACAAGGGCTCTTCATCCACTTTCCCAGTTGCTGAACTTTGTTGACATATGACAGAAACATTTTTGGTTAGTAGACCTCACTTGGGAGAACATCATTAAGAACGCTGCTAAGTTTATAATACGTTCCTGACATCACACCAAAAACAAACATCACTTTAATACACGAGACTAATAATACGTTTTTCTTTTTAAACAGATGTTCCAGTTTGCTTTGCACTTAGGAAGATGGAACATCAATTTATTTCAGGATGGAGAAACATAAACAAATAAAAGTATTATTAACACATAATATATACGTAATTTATTCCAGAATGAATACACATGCACTAAAGGACTGTGAAAAGTTTTAAACTTCTCATTTTTAGGAACTTTGGAATATGACATATGGTAAATACTCTGCGCTTTCCAAATACATTTCCATTTTCTTAAAACAAAGCTCTAATATATTTATTTTACACTTTTTTCCATGTATGATCTATTCCAAATGTATTTTTTGTAGTACCAATAATTCATAACCTGTTTTTTTTTTTCCTGAACTGACTCCCTGGGGTTGATTGACATAGAGGTATATTTATAAAGCAGTGAATGTGACATTTACTAGTCATTCACTGCAGGTGTATCATCCTAGTGGATGCTTGGTGAATGACACATTTACAGCAACATAAAAGAGTGGCGGCAGTAAAAGACCAGGAGGTCTATCGAGTCTGTTCCTTTTTCTGATATTTTTTTTTGTTTGTTTTCTTCAGAGGCGTAACTAGAACCTTCAGGGCCCCGGTGCAAGAAACCATGAAGCAGAACCATTGCCAGCAGAAGGGCTAAATGTAGGAAAAAACCTGCCCAGTGCTTCATGTCCTGGGTGATAGGAATTGCGCTCCTCTGGACATAATATTAAAATGATACACAGAATATAATGATAAATAAACCAGTTCCTATGTGGCTAACCGCCTCCTGCAAACCAACAAGGTGATAACACATGATATTGAAGGTTAATTAGTCATATAGGAACTTGTTTTTTTTATCATTATATTCTGTATCATTTTATTATTGTTTCTCAAAACATATCCTCATAATTGGCATTATACAAAATTGTCCATTCATTCTGGGCCACCACTAAATGCCCCAATTCTTATGTTCACTATAGTGTTAAATACCATAGTGAACATAATAATTGACTGGCATGTTATTTTGTACATTGCTGATAGACACACCAAGCCTACATGTTAATGTTTGTGTGTGAAGATTAATGCCTAGTGAGAGCAGGGCAGCAAATATCTGCAGAGCTAGCTTTCTGCGAGATGAAGAACGATCTCCCTTTGACCCCCGTGTGTGTGTGTGACCCATCCCTCGCCTCCTTACCTTCTTCTCCATATCACGGCTGTCAGCAGCAGGGGTGGGGGGACATCTGAGGGTTGTCGGCAGAATTGCCTGATGCTCCGTTCCTCGCTGCTCAACTCGGTAAAGAAAAAGAAAAAACACAACAACAACAAAACTTTAACCCGGTTGCTTGCCCACAGCCGAGCTGAACCGAGAGAAGAAACCACCTGCCCGGCGCCCGGAACTGCATGTCCCGGGCGTCGGGCGATACAAATTCCGCACCCCTGAGTGTGATAGAGAAATAGATTATAATAAGGAACATTAGAGTGTAATATTCACTAATATAATCCATTTCTCTAATTTAAAGAAATTTCAACACACAGTGTGCAGGGTCTGGGCCTCTCATTCTTAACCCCGCCAGTATCCGTCGGTCTCTCTCCCTCCCCCTTCTCTGAGAGGAGGAGTGGGGGGAAAGAGTGAGAAACACACACAGACCGATGCTCAGAGGAGGAAGGGAAGCATGAGAGAGACCGACCGACCAATGCAGAGAAGCTCTCAGCGTCGGTCGATCTTTCTTCCTCACTTTCTCTCCCCCCCAGTCTCTCTCTCTTTCCCGGGGCCTCTGTCTGCTGGGAAACACTTACATTTCTTCCAGGCCTGCAGACCTGCAGCTCCTCTTCAGCCTCATGCTCCGGTGCTTCTGCCCGGTGAAAGCAAGCTCCACCCCCTGCACGCACGTCTGAGGAAGGTTCCAATAGCGAGGGGGGGTGGGACCTGGCAAATGGTATTATTCTTATAATTTATTAATAAAAAGTTATAGCTTGAAGCCCGGCTCCCCCCAGCCGCCTGGGCCCCTTACAACTTCAGTGGCTGTACCCCCCTGATGGCGGTACGATCTCGGGGGGGCCCCCTTCTTCCTCGCTGACCCCCCCCAAGTGGTGGAACGCCAGGGCCCGGTCACAATTGCGTGTAGATCTCCCCAACATGTTTGAATCCACCTACTGCTGACTCACTACCGCTACTGGAAGTTTGTTCCAAGCATCACCTCTCTGGCAGAATAATACTTTCTAAGATTAGGTTGCACTTTCCTGTTCCTAGTTTGAGGTCATGTCCCCATGCTCTTAATCTTAGCTTCATATTAAAATAGCTAATAGCTACCCTCCTGAACCTTATTCACCTTTTGCTTCTTTTCTGAAGACTGTACATATTAAATTCTTGCAGTCTCTCCTCATATGTTTTATTCCAAAGGCCTTTCCACATTTTTGTTGTCAGTCTCTGGACTCGATCAATGACAGGGGTAGCCAAACTTCTCCCCGCCAGCTCAGTGACGTGCAGTACCTTCTGTGCTGGGTGAGGCAATCCCCAGCATGCCCTACTCTGCCCCCAGTCCACTGACATCCCGCCCACATCTCAACAAAGCTCTGCTCCCCAGCCCGGTCACCAAGCTAGTGAGAAGGAGGGAGGAGGAGGAAGGGAGGAGACGGGGGAGGAGCCTCCCTGTCCCTCACTTGCTCGTCACTGGTGAGGCATCGAGATCAATGTCCTCAGTGTTTTTTTTTTTATTGGACAGCTTGGAGCGATGGTGCTTTGCCATTGGCCCAAACCATCCACAGAGCTCAAGCCTGTAACACAGAGTAGAGGCTGTTGCAGCTCTGGTCTCACTATGTTAGGTTACACAAGCAGTGGGGAAGCCCGCTGCTGTGTGACCTAACTTAGCTGTCAAAAGCTGGATGCAGCTACATGTTACTTACCCTGTTTCCCCCGAAAATAAGATCCACCCCGATAATAAGACCTAGTAGTATTTTTGGGAATTGCTAAAATATAAGACCTATCCCAAAAATAAGACCTAGTTGTGACCTTTCCCAGGGCCGGTGGTGGCATAAGGGGAAACTTGAAGAGCCACGGGAAAGAATCAGAGGTGCCAACGAAGTCAGCGCTAGAGGAAGCGAGGCGGCAGCAGAGGGAGCAGAGCCGCATAAGCCGATGCTTCCTCTATAGCGCTGACTCCAGTCACAGGCGGAATGATATCAAATGCACGCCTGTGAGGAATGATAATAAAAGTGCGCTTCGCTCATTCTGGCCAGCGATTCGTTACCAAATTTCTCTTGGAAAGGTATGGCACCCCTGATTGTCCTGATCACCCTATTCTTAACTTTGCCATTTTGGATTATTTTATTTGGATTGGCATTAATTTTAGATTGTTGTACATTAAAAAAAAAATAAGACCTACCCAGAAAATAAGACCTAGTGTGTTTTTTTTGAGCCAAAAAAAATATAAGACAGTGTCCTTTTTTCGGGGAAACACGGTACATAGTGTCTTATATTTGCCTGTATAGTGTATACCGTGTTTCCCCGAAAGTAAGACCTACCCCGAAAATAAGACCTAGTGCTATCTTCGGGGATTTCTGTAATATAAGACCTACCCCGAAAATAAAACGCATGCCCGCCCACCTGTGTTTCTCCTGTGTTAAAACCTCATTGTATGTGGCAGTCAATCACGATCAAACCCTTTCCTTTTTACTAAAAACATCTTTCATGTCTTTTTCCAGCTTTGTTGCATCCCAGTTCTGCTGATCTCCAGCAGCCTTTTTGCAGTTTCTTCATTTGTACATGTACTCTAGTGATGGCTACATGGAATTTCTTAGGGTGGTTTCTTTATGGTGACAACAGTGGACCATGCCTGTGTAAAGTTTGTTGAAACAGCTACTTGTAAGAAGTGTCATAGGGTGACAATATAGTAGCAGAACAGAGAGACAGAGAAAGAGCTTTGCCAATCAATAACAGGTAGTGCCTAAACAAGGACCTTCGAGGCAGGATCACTGGGTATTTTTTTAATGCAAAATGCAGAGATTAAAATTATTTTGATGATAGGCCCTCGGTTGCCCCTCCAGGTTCATGATAGGCGGACCATGGTTTGGATTATTCAGATAATATCCCTGCTCCGCGCTTCTCCAGAATCTTCTTGCACAAGTTTCTTTGAATCAAGGGTCCCTTACCTTCCTATGTACAATAGCCTATGGGATGCGTGGCTGTAAATGTAATATCAATTAAATTAAAATGGGAAATTTGGATCCATGGTTCTCAATTAGACTTCCCTTTTTGTCTCCATATCCACCGGGGCTGAGATTTCCTGCTGCCGTCTGGGTCCATTGGAGGGATGTGTGGTAGCTTGTGTTTTCAAAGCTGTATACTTGGCACTGTAATGCAACTTACCTGTGATGCTACTTATCTTCCTGAAGAAGTAATAGATTGTAAAGCAGTTGTGAAACGCGTTGAACTAGTCTCCTGTCCTGCACACATACCAGCACTGATCTTTGGTGACTATATATGGATTGCATGTATATTATAACAAATATAATATATGATAAATGTAACAGATGTGCTACTGGTTGAGTGGAGGTACTGGTTTACTGTATGCTACAGATGATTTTATGTACATACACTAATGCATATGTTTGTATATTTTTTTCTTTTGTATGTTTTACTAAAAGATAAATTGGTTTTAATAATAAAGAAAAATTTAAATGTGTCCCTGTCTTAAGTACATTATAAGTCTGGTTTCAATCATCTGAATCTTTTTTTTTTATTATACTTTTAAAACAACCAGTTAAAGCTGAGAGTATTAAGTGATTGGTCTTACATTTACTTAAAAAAACAATACATGTCATATTCACAACACAAATACCTATATACAAATTACTGTTATATTTTGCCGAATTAAAAGTTAACCCCTCCAGCAACTAGACCCCCATGTTCCTAACATACCCATGGAGGTTGCCATATACAGTATTTGTAAAATATTAATAGCCACCCACATTTTTATTTAGTTATTTTTTAGATGCATACATCTTGTGTGCACCTTCTGTTCTTGTGATTTATTCTTTACCAAAACACACAATTATTTAGTCTAAGTAAACCCTGCTTGCTCATAGCTTCCTCTATTATTGAAAATGTATTGTTTAACGGGTTTGTTTCATATAAAATGAACTCTGATGTTACAGTTATGCTATCACTAGGGATGAGTATTTTTATGAATTGCAGCAAAATTTTCATTAGAAAAAAAAAAACAGTTCTACTCTTTTCTTTCCTTTTATTTAGAGGGCGATTTTTTGGGAAAGTGGGAAATTGCTGCGAAGGCAACATTTTCATGAAAGAAAACAGTTCTATTCCTTTTTCTTTTATTTAGAGGGTGTTTTTGTGGCAAGAGAGCAACAAAATAGTTTAATATATTTAATGTAATGCTCTTTGTGCTGTATTTGTGTTTATTTTGATTTATTGTGTACTACCCCTATAGATGTTATATTTACCTATTTTTTTCACTGCCTGAGGTTTTTTTATCTCTGTGCAGAAAACGAAATGTAGTCTGCAGTGCATTTTTATAAAATGATTAACTTTACTAAAATCTTGAAATTTTTTGTTAAATTTTGGGAAAATGAAAACACTCAATTTTGCTCATCCATTGTTATTACAAATAAATATTTTGTTAAGTTCAGTAAACCATTTTGAAGTTTTGTGCTGGCAAAAAAAGCTGTCAGAAAAAACTAACCTGAAATATCCACGAGCAATGAAAAACACCTGTGTATGTTTAATGAATTCAAACATATACTCAACAGGCTTGTAAAATGAAAGAGAAAAACATGAGTAAGGTAGTTTGTTTTATTACAACTGAGGTGTTGCTGCAACATAGGTTAACTGAACCGGGGCCGGGGGAATCTGAGGAAATCACAAACGTTACAAAATTAGCAGACCAACTATTGTTTTATATTTTGTTTGTGAACTGCTATGTGATAGTGAACTATATATTTATTTTTTTTAAAGCGCAAAAAACTGAGCTATGGTAAGGTGAATTCTGATGAGGCGAAAGCTTGGAATTATATACGTTTTCTGTATGAACAGCAACATTTCCCTAAAGTACAACTCCAGTCATGTTGTTCTTAAGTTTAGATATGGCTGGAGAAGGTTAGAAGCCCTTTCAGGTTCTTATTATTGTCTGCAATCTCAATGGGTATATCGCTCTCTTCCTGTCCGTGTGACCCATTGGGGGTGATTTACTAACCTAAACACGCGCACGCACCAGGTGCGTGTGATTTTCACACAGCAAAACGTATTTATCAACCAAAAAGTCTATAAAAGCATATTTCCACTAATGCCATATATGGAAAAATCATGCACATGATGCATATATAATGCTGCTTCACAGTTTAGACAAAAATGGTTAGCTCATGCATTTACATTCCTGCATTCATCAACGCATGCAACACAACATAGAGCTAATTTACACAACATCACCTTGTAATTCATGCAGGGCTTTGCACAACACACCTGCTGGGTGTGTACACACTACAAAGGTGTTTAGATTCCACCCATAGATCATGCTGGGAGGGAACACACAACAGAGGTGTATACATGTTCGTGGTGTGTTTATAAGGTTAGTAAATCAACCCCATTGAGTTAGGAAATCTCCTCACTGAGCAATCAAACAGCAACAAAAACCTCAGAGGTTGTAATTGCTTCCTATTCTATCAATCTGACTGAAGATTTATTTAGAGATTTAAATATCACTGCCTTTGGCAACTCTACTGGTAGACATATCAAATTAAAGTGACACTAAACAAAGGAGGTAAATCTTAAAAATGTATTCAAGTATCCTAACTATTAATAAAAATGTATCTTATTTGTGTATCACTCGGCTGTAGATCCTCAAATCATCTCTGAATTGGTGCCGACACTGTCCTTCCTTCTGGAGGGTGGCCAATTTTCTTCCCCATGATCCCTGTGTGTGTTGTAAAGCAATCACCACTCCAAGCTCGCTCCTATGATGTACAATAACGTTAATAGTAATTAGCTAGCTAAACATGAGATTGTAGTCCATCACGGGGTGAGCTTGGAGCGGTGACTACTTATCTCTCTGAATTTGCATACACATAGATAAATATATATTTAATGTTGCTGTACCATTTTGAATTGTAACATTTCCAACATCCCTGAAGCATAAATCGGTGCTTTTTTTGCAGAGTTAATTTATCATAACATAATTAGCAGGGAAAATTCCCAGCTCTCCTCTCAACTTGCCCTCCCACCAGTCGTATTGCGAATCAGTTTTGGTCACGATTGTGATCTTTTCTCCAGCTTGGAACGTCAGGTCTCCTGGCTGTAACCCTTCAAATGGGTAGATAGCAGTTGCAGTAATTCCCTCTCCTCTTGAGCTGCCTAAAGAACAGAAGATAGAATAATAAACAATTCAAAGATCATCTAAAAGTTAACACTGAACTCCAGGAACATATAAAGCACACCAATTATTTCAGTTATATATTCATTAAAAATCATTTGTTCTACAAATCCCTTTAACAGAAGAGCTTGCACTTGAGAGGAAAGGGGGGGGCTGAGCCCTGAGTCAGTCAGGGTTCTGTTACTTTACATAGGGTTATCCTGTGAACATGCTACCAAGAAGGGAGAATACAAGAATAAAATCCTTGGGTGTGCTGTTTCTGTTTTATTGTCCATTCATAAGATTGGGTGGGGGGGTGTCCTGGCCAGGCTGAACTGCTTAATCTAAAGTAATATTAAAGTCACAATATTTTAAGCAATTTCAACTGCTGATTAAATCGCTTACAATGGATGCTGCTTGATGTTCAAAATTTTCAGCTTCCTGAAGAATCAGCTGGTCCCATGAGCACTGGCCCTGATTTGAAGGTGGCTCCTCTTCATTGCAGGGTCCTATAGAGACACCCTTGTATGTGCTAGTAAGCTATGCGTGTCTCCACAAACACACAAACAAAGATTGACAACCTAGCCCCTCTTTCCTCCTCCAAGCTAGTAAATGGAAAGTTGCTGGAGACTGCTCTGTCCCTTGGGATCTTGTACTGAACAGGAAGTTCAGGGAAACTAAGCTGAGAGAGTTAGAGGCAGCGGTTTAGGAACATGATGACTGTTAGTGCTTGGGAAATTTTTTTAGGAAATACTTGGCTGGGCAATTTATATTTTGTTCGATCTGGATTCACTATTGAAAAAAGTTTGAGTTGAATACTACTTTAATTGTACTGAGCATGAAGGTCACAGACCTGGCTCTATTGTCTGGAAGGGTGGCATTAGGGTGACCATATGACAGAAGGAGGTGGAATAGTCTTTCTCTAAGGCTCACAACAAGAATATAGGGGCCTACATCGTAAAGTCTGACCTCACAGGCGTTGGAAATGTGACCAGAGAAGAAAACATTTGAAACCAAATCTTGCCAGTTTCCTCATTAGGGTAACAGAACTAGAATATTCCATACAAACTTGTTTTCTGAGAAGATTTCTAGCGAACATCCCAGAATGCTATTTCTTTGAGGACCATAATTTATATGTATCCAGAAATACAGTTTGACTGACAGGTCTTCATCTATCAGTGGACAGGATTGCTCCCGAATTTGCCAGCAGCTGCAGATATTTCAGAACAAGTGTACTATACCCGACACATGTATTTTGTGCGAGTCTGCCTGGAATTCACAACAGATTGTATGCACTGGAGTTTGCGGAATTCAGAGTTTATGGACAGGAAAATATTAAAGCTGTGCAAAACGACCAGGTTAAGTAATGAATACCAACAGACAGTTAAAACCATTACTAATGGCACCGGTTACATGTGTATACACAACGAATGCTACAATTTGTGGAATTCGTGCACAATCTGTATTACATTCACACACACCTCTGAACACATGATCTCATCTTTTCACACTTGCGTTCACATTTGCACATCTCTTCACACTTACACACAGATTTTCCTATCCCCTCACAGAAGCCAAAAGCATTTGGAAGAGCATATCTGGGATAACGAGGTCAAGATATATCAAATGGTTGTCATAAACTGAACCACCCTAAACAGCTGTGAAGTTCAATGGGAATACATTACATGATTACGATAAATGACAGATATTTATGTGAAACCCTCCAAAGCCAGCTTCGAAACTCATGTGGGACAGACATATTCATTTATCAGTCAGTAAACAACTAAGCAATAATGGGAGGAAATTAATGCTAACCAATCAGAAATGATCTCTTACCCAATTCGAATTCAGTAAACCTGGAGTCCACTGTGAGTTACTGCATTTTGCAGATTATCATTACTTTTTGAATCCAACTGCTGTACAAGTGCTATTGGATCATTTGTGTAAATTGGAATATTTCGAAGCCTACCAGTCCCTAAATGTGGTGGCCACATTTGTCTTCATTCTTCAGCCTAGTGACCTTGTCATTCCTGTGAGCTAAGCAGACAGCAAAAGCAATGTTTCTTTCTTTTGTCAACTACTAGTCCTATTTACTACCAGGTAATGGAGGGGAACAACGGCACACATGCTTAAAGTCCAGCCTGGATGACAACCATGGCTGCCTCCACAGATTCAGTGGCATGAGTAAATTAGCCATGCATGGACAGGAAGTGCATTATTCTCAGGATTACCAGAAACAAAGGGGAAAGGGCATGAAAAAAAAAGAGAACTAATGCAGCTGCCTCTTCTAAGGACTGGTTATCTGCAATATATTACATTTTTGTTTTGGGTTTAGATAGGTTTCAATTGTTTAGATTTAAATGCACTCAAATTACCAATTAGAACCAATTGTCTTTGTATTGACTTTTCAAGCATCTCTTGTGCAAATGTTTTTGTTGATTTTTGAATGCACTGCGCAGTGTGTGTTGCAGAAGAAACATTAATGTCAGGATTTATTACCCTTCCTTGTTCTGTTGAGTTGCAGCCTGTCTTTTGTTTCAGGGTGTTTGACACTGTCCGTTCCTCTTTGGCACCCTCTTATGACCAAACCCGTAAACATAATTATTCTGCAACTACTACCCAACTCCTGGCAAGTTCCGGTCTCAGAGTGATGATGCAACACCAGTTCACTATTTAACCAATAGCTTGTCCATTTAGTCTCCACCCTTGTGTTTGTTCAAATCTACTATGCTGTTGTTCCTTTTCTCCATGTATGACCCTGGCTCTGGCCGACTGATCTCCTGGTTTCTGACTCTGGCAATTGTTTCCATTCATCCTAATCTCAGTGTTCCCTGACCAGGTTTGGCTTACTACCCACTTTGGTATTCAACCTCGGGCTTGGCACCAACATTATCCTGGACTTTCTCCATTGTTTTTTGCCATTTTGTTTATTGTTATTTTTAATTAACTTTTTTTTTTTAACCTGCACTTTAGTTTCTGTCTGGTTTCTTGGCTCCCTGACAGTCAAATCTAGTTGCTGTGTACAGAAGAGATAACATTGGTCTTAGTGGCCTGGGTGCAAAGACAAGGCCAGGCAACAAGTGACCATTTTATTATGAGGTGCAAGAGTAACAAAGTAAGTAGGGATGCACTGAAATTTCGGCCGTCAAAACATATTGACCAAAAATGGTACTTTGGGGAAAAAGCCGAAAGTAAAATTTTTGGGCCGAAAATGTGGTGCATCCCTAGTTTCTCTCCTTCTCGCTGGGTGCTGTTCTGCGACCCCTCTGACAGGAGGGTGGGGAGGAAGGTGCAGTCACAGGGGGCTGAGCCCAACCGTGCTCAGTTTCCTGTGACACAGCTGAATACTCCACTTGTACTCCTGTGACAAGCAAATCAAGATGGAGAGCAGTGCGGGTGTGCCGTCAGCTGTCACAAGAGGCTGAGGGAGAATGAGAAGAGAATGAACAGGAAGTGCTCTACATCACTTCCTGTTCATTCATGATTGTGGACATAGTAACTCATACTATATCCACAGTTTATGAATGGACAGGAACACTCAGTATAGAGGATTCCTGTTCATTCATAACAGGGGATGCAGAAAAAGAGATTGAGGACTCTGTGTCCTCAATCTCTTTTTCTATTTCAAAAGGGAAATATCAGGGGTCTGATTGGACCCCTAATATTTCCTCAGAGCCCTCCGACAGTAATGTAAAAAAAAATTTAAAAAAAATGAAAACATTTTTTTAAAGGTTAGGACACACTTTTTCTGGTTTTGCCCTGGCACATTTTTTGTTTGTTTTCGGTTTCGGTCTGAAAATTCCATTTCCTTGCACTTCTAAATAGTAAGATATGGTAAATATCCTTTTTAGATATTTAGATGATACCCTGTCCAGCTAGAATATTTGGTTGCTTGGTTCTACAAGTCAGCCCAGACACTAATTATTTAAAGATGGGTTACTAAACAACAAATAAAGAAATTCTGGACTGTGACTAGGTAACAATTGTACTTTTCTTTTTTATTTAGACAGGGAAAAGGACTCTCTTGCAGCATTTGCACATTTTTGCAGTAGTTCTACAACTTCAACAAGCATTATATGACTGTAAATGTGCATTATTTATGTAACTTTAGCTCAAGATTATTATGCACATATAGAGGGTCGGATGGGCCTGCTTTACTACTGCTGCCTGTTTTCAGTCAACCTGCTAAATGCCATGAGTGACATAACAGACGTGTTTCTAGAAACAACTTTTGAGGTGAGGGCTCAACAGATTTTTAAAGCACCACAGTGAGAAGAAAAAAATAAAAACAATACATCTGAGGACCAGGTTCTACTAGCCCCACCATGGTTACATGAACATTGTTTTGGTTTGTGTAATATACATATATTTTGCTAGATACAAACACTTTCATATTAGTGGTTTTGGTAAGTGCTAAGCCACATCTTACACATTCTGTATATTTGT